CATTGTTCTCTTAACACTGTTACCAACCAGTTGGTATTTGGTTGTGGGAGGCTGCTAGCTGTCTATGAAACTGATTACTAAAAACCTCAGATACTGGTTGGCACCCCCCTGACAACCGCAAGTCAGTAAAGAAATATGTGCATTCCCCAACTGCTTGATGAATGGTTGTTGGCAATCGCTCAGCGAAACTGACTGCAAAAAGGTATACGGCGCTGGACTGAAAGCCTCCATGTGATTGTGGGTGGCTGTAGCTCAGGTGGCAGAGCAGGTCAGCCACTAGTCAGAAGGTCGGTGGTTCGATCCCAGGCTGCCTCCTGGCTGCATGCCAAATATCCTTGGGCAAGATACTAACCCCATGTTTGCCTACTGGTGGTGGTCAGAGGGCCCGGTGGCGCCAGTGTCTGGCAGCCTCGCCTCTGTCAGTGCGCCCAGGGCAGCTGTGGCTACAATGTAGCTTGCCATCGCCAGTGTGTGAATGTGTGCGTGAATGGGTGAATGACTGAATGTAGTGTAAAGCGCTTTGGGGTCCTATGGACTAGAAAAGCGCTATACAAATGCAGGCCATTTACCATTTACCATTACTTTGGTCACTAGAAAGTTGCCACTGTCCTCTATAGTTTGCGTGGAAGACGTCCACTCGCCATCTACTTTCTAAGTCAGGGGTGTCGAACTCCAGACCTCGAGGGCTGGTTTCCTGCAGGTTTTAGATATGCCCCTGGGTCAACACACCTGAATCAAATGATTAGTTTTATTACCAGGCCTCTGAAGAACTTCAAGACATGTTGAGGGGGTCATTTAGCCATTTAAATCAGCTGTGTTGGATCAAGGACACATCTTGATGAGAGGCCTGGAGTTCGACACCTGTGCTCTAAGTGAAACTGTAAAAAGCGACGCAAACTGGAAATGAAGATTCCTCCTTTCAAAGTAAAAGCTGCGCCTTTTAAAAATGAGGCACAACTTTTTTAGGTTTTGCTAGTTGGTGACTAGTAAAGTAGTAGTAGTGTTTGCAGACAAGTCAGCATCTTCCATGCAAATTGTAGGGGACCAAAGCAATGTGAAGGTTTTCACAACCTGCTCACCAACTGGTTGGGAAATACACATATTTGGCACACTGGGGGACGACCCCTCTCCCCAGAGGTTGCTGTAGGTTTAACCACCGGTCTCTAATCTGTGTGACTGAAGCCTAATGTAAATAAATGTCTCCAAAGTTGATTCAAATTAGCTGTAGGTTTATTTTCAATTTGTCTCAGGGGAAACTGTGACTCAAGTTAACCTCCTGTCCACTAACACTATCATTGAAATGTATTATTATTTGTGTTAACTAAAAGAAAAAATATTTATCCTTAACAAGGAGGAAATACTCTTAATCTTATCTCCTTACTTTTGGCTAAATGTCTTTTGGCTAAATGTCTTTAGTGAATCTTGTAAGAAGCCAAAAGCAGCAGTTAACTGCAACTGTCACTGGCAATGTGTGTTGAAAGTCAGCGCAGTAGGCACACCGAGTACAGTTCTGTTGTGCTTCTGAAGAATCCGAAGAATGCTTTTACTCTGCAGGCCATCAGACTGAGTCTCTCACAAACACACACACATATAACAAGTAGACGGAGCATCATAGCTTGTTTAAATTGGTCTGTTCAACAGATGTGCAATACAGTCGTGAATAAATGTTAGCAAAAGCACCAAGGTATCTTTATAAACATGAGAAGGCACACTTCTGCCTTGACAGGGGCACACAGGAATACAGCGGGTGCCTTTCTTTATGCCCTAATAGAGTTTTGTCTGGGCTGTGCTTGGTATCAATTTGAGTTATTATGTGTGCGGCAGGACTGTTCTCAACGCTGGGAGACAGAGCAGACACCCACACGCATAAACACACACTCACAAGAGCCTCATCAGTCAAAATCCTCGCCTTATGACAGAGGCACAGGAAACAATGATGAATTGGTGTCAACGAGCTTCTCTCAGTTCTTTTAGTGGAGAATCACACTCAGTGCTGGTTATCTCTGACCGCAAATTCCCACTTTTAACACGCACCCACAACATAAAATGCGGTAGACATCAAAACTGGTCTTCTTTTCTTTCCCCATTGAGTGTTCGGTAAAACTGTAGCAGAACTAAAGACTTTATCTCTTTTCCCACTTATACTGGATTCATTTACAATAGGCTACCAATATACTGGGATCCTTTCTCTGTTCCAAAAACAGCAGGACAGGTACAATCATGGATTATGGGGCGGACAGTCTCGGTCGTTGTGTCCTTGGGCAAGACACTTCACCCGTTGCCTAATGGTGGTGGTCAGTGGGCCCGGTGGCGCCAGTGTCCGACAGCCTCGCCTCTGTCAGTGCGCCCCAGGGTGGCTGTGGCTACAATGTAGCTGCCATCACCAGTGTGTGAATGTGTGTGTGAATGGGTGGATGACTGGATATGTAAAGCGCTTTGGGGTCCTTAGGGACTAGTAAAGCGCTATATAAATACAGGCCATTTACCATTATGTGTGGATGTGTGTTTGTGTTCAGAGGTAAGTGTACAGAGGGGAAATTTCATGCTTGTGTTCAAGTCCTTGTGCTCAGCAGCTGTACATTCAAATAAACAGAACAAACTGTTAAACCTTCAGCAGATTCTGCACATGCTCTCAAGGTTAAACTGGGAGGAAGTGCTTAATAAGATCACTGAACATGATAGCGTTTCTTATCTTACGTTTCGCTACCTTGTTCCTGGTTATTATGAAACATTTAGCTACAACTGGAATGTTGGAAAAACACAATGCACTATGCAATATTCTCACAGGTGTCGGTTGCAGCACTGCAGGTGTGCCAGTTTAGATTTCTGTCTCCTTTTCAAGAAAGTTCTTCAAATGAAACTGGACCAGAACACCCTCAAATCCTTTTTTAAGGAATCTAACTGGAAGCTAACTGAAAGAACTTAAAAAATCATGCTTGAATGGCTCAGAAAGAGCAAAACAAACAAACAAACAAGATAAAAAAATCATCACAATGCTGGAAAAAGACCATCTAAGCCTAACTGTGCTCTGCTGCAGGCCTTTCAGCTAAGGAAGCAATTTCTGAGCGCCTAAATGCTTCCTAGAGCGCCTGTGATCTCTCGATAATAATCCTAGGTGTACCATGATAATTACAAAGGGAATGCCGAATGTGGTTGCCACGAATTCTAATGGTGCTGCTATGGTAATAAGTACTGGATTGTTGAATGGCAGTAGTAAATGGAAAAGGTCAATGTTTTCAAATAACTGTCTTAAATGCCTCTGAAGTGGTAATAGAGCAGGTTTTCAAGCCTGAGCCACTGTCACTATTCAATTCAATTCAGTTTTATTTATACAGCACCAAATCAACAACAGTTGCCTCAAGGTGCTTTATGTTGTAAGGCAGACCTTACAATAATACAGACAGAGAAAAACCCAACAATCATGAGCAAGCACTTTGGCAACAGTGGGAAGGAAAAACTCCCTTTTAACAGGAAGAAACCTCCAGCAGAACCAGGCAGACTCCAAATGTTTAGGGAGCCCTTCACTGAGAGCTGACAAGTATCATGAGGAGAGATTATATCTTATGCAGTTTTTAAACACAGTGTCTATTTTAGTTTGTTTCTGTGGACACACACTCAGTCGACTGTCCCTTTTTCTGAATTGTGCTCATATTCATGCCAAACAAAACGAGACAGCAGCGACGTCGTCAGTTTTTGTCTCTTGTCAGTCATTTTATGATTTTACGACATAAACGACACAACAGATTCTCACACTTGGTCTGGCTTTTACTTCCTTCGCTGCTCACTGATGGTTAGTGTCCACAGAGGTGTGTTTTTAATGCTTGGTGCTGAGCTACAGTATTCAAAAGCTGACAGCTAAGCCATTGCCACAACTTTAAGTTCTCTCTGCTCTCAGAAACTGTCACTGGGGCTCATTTGCTAACTTTCTATACCATTGAAATGTTTTTGAAAGCTACAGATGCAAGTGACTGCTCTGTCTTTATTTCAGATACACAACAGTTCGCTTTGTTGGGGAGTTTCCAGGCATGCCGAGCCATGCTGGATGCTGCCGATTTGCATAAACTAGCCTAAACTTCAAATTTATGCAAATAAACAGCAGCAAACTAAACACCCCATTTCTCATAATGAAATGTGACAGTACTAGAAAGTGCTGCACCGACACCTACGAAGACGACGAGTAAAAAATGTGGAGAAGTTGGTGCCGTGAAAGCTTTCAGTTTGACAATGCTGCTGTACTGTCAGTGAAATGGAGAATACAGACAAAAAAGCTCTGTGAGAATATGCTGGGAAAACAGTAAGTTTATATCTGCCTGTCATAAGATATATAACAATTTACTGTGCTGGCCAATCAGTTATGTACAGACAGTCCAGGTAGGTCCTGTATCGTGTACAAACAACCCAGTATCATGACAAAACTCATAACAGGCGGTCCACCGTGTCCATTTCACGTTCTGGAGAGGCAAAGCGCAGAAGCTGTTCCTGCATGCAGAAACTGCATTACCAGTAGGGGGAGATAGTATATTTAAAGCCACAAAGCCGGTAGTGAGCATAAAATGTATTAAGAACATTGCAGGGTCCTTTATCGGCAGAAATGATCAAGTTAGGTGGCTAATGTGTATATAAATGTAAATGTTTTAATAGTGTCTGTTCAAACACTTTCCTGTGACTATTTTCCTGTTGGCTTGAAATAAAATATCTCCCTGCTGTTACTGCACTTTGCGGCAACTTGTACATTACTTGTACATTTCAGGTTTTGGAGAGGAAACGCGTGAAATGGACATTGGCCTGTCTATTATATATCAGGCTGGTACAAAGCACTGTGCAGATGTCAAAGCAGAGATGAGGGAAACTGTTGGTGCTGCTGTGATAAGCTTTAAATTTGGTCCCACGAATCTGAATTTCATCATCAAATGAAATTCAGATGACAACGAAAGAGGCTTTAAACATCTTAACGGCTTGAAGGCTTCAAACCATTTGGCCTTCCTGCCGTGGTGTCTCACCTTGCTCTGGTCAGTCCAATACAGGAAGTAACCTTTGGGGTCAACTGTCAGAGTCACCGGGGTCACAGTGGTTGAATCCTGTCGTGAAGAAGAAAAGACACGTGTCTGTTTAAATCTGTAAATCAACATCTGAATTTCAACATGAGTGAATACCTCACTGCAGACAATTCTCCGAGGGAACCAAGATCAAAGCATAGTTTGTTTTATCCACTCGCATACCAGAATTTGAAATGACATCAAAAGTGCTGTTTATGTTGTAAACATGCACTCAATCCTTTCCTTTTAGGGTACTTTCCACACCACGACCTGGCATCACCACAAAATGACCAAGCAGCCTGGGGTGTGCGTGTGTGTTTGCAGTGACTGCAATCACGAAGTGCAGGTTGATTTGGAGTTGATGTTTCAATTTTCCCCTCTTGTAATGGACAAATGCTTTCCCACAGTTACATACAGATAGCTCCAAGTCTCTCTCTCTCTCCCACACACACACACACACACACACACACACACACACACACACACAGTTTGACCCTGAGGCATACATGGCAACACCAGATATTATTGGATGCGTCTATAAAAAGAAAGAAAGAGCCATTGCCTTTTTTCTGTGTCCACAGTGGCTGTGGCTCAGCTGAACAGTAGCATATTGTCCTCTTCAATCAGCCATGGCTGCAAGATCAGAGAGATGAGGACCGCATTTGCTGCACAGAGCAAGAAAATCTTCAAAGTGTCTTCATGAGGCTTCTAATGATGTCCCTATCAGAGCATTTGGAAACAGAGCTAATGGTCTGCATCTGCTCCACACTTGTCTTATTTGGGCGCGACCTTATGCGACTTGCAGCGTAGGATGCTGGGAAAGGGTTGGGCTGGTAGACAGCAAAGGAGCCTATGCTGTAATGTATTTAACCATTATGAGTCATTTCAGTCATTTCATACTGTCTAAATGTCACAATCATGGTTTATCCAATATAGGCCAACAGTGAAAATACAGGAGGAACAGAGGAGGGGAAAACGGGGAAAGACGAAAGAAGGGAAGTGAGCTGAAAGTAAATGAGTGGCTCGTTCGGTTTTGGAAACAGTTAGGCATCAGAGGCATTTGCTACGGTGACGTTTGCTATGGCAACCCACCATTCCCATGAAATCTATTAGAGACTCAAGAGGAATCGCTTTGGTTTTGTTCACATGATTGCACAATCTTTGCAAGCTTGATTGAATGACAAAAGATGCGGTTCATGTCAATGAATGCATGCCGCATACACACACACACACACACACACACACACACACACACACACACAGTTTATAGCCTAAAGGAAAGGGAAAAGCATCATGTTTGCAGTTCTTAGATATAGCATTTCAGACCAAATCTGGCTCATATCTCATGATCTTTGCTCAGCTCACCATCCACAGTCCGATTTTTCCAATTTAGTTTTTACAGATAAATATCTTTAGAAAAATTCAAGAAAATGATAGCGAGCTAGATCAAAGAATATTTAGCAAGTCATTTATATTTTCAGTAAACCAAGTCAAGAAGTCATTCGGGGGATAAGATGCGATGCAAGTGATGGATTGTCTGTCATGTCTGAGAAAAGAAGAAGGCTCGAGAGCACTGGGAAACTGCCTAATGATGTGAGAGCAGTCATTTTCACCAGCTTCTTTCTTAATGTCCTAGCTCTCCATGGCCACCACTGCAAACACATTAAGCCATTATGGACTCTTAGCAAAGATTTTCTCATGGGTTTTCACATTTACACAGAAACAAGAAGTACTTAAAGCTGGGATTTAACTTCAGAGTGACTACCGGCAGAATAGTACTCGCCAATGTTTTTTTTGTTTTTTTTTATTGTCATTGGACTATTTTAAGGGATTTGTCTTTAATGGGACAACATTAGGCAGCAGAGTGGCCTGCTTTCTGCTGAATTAAGATGAGATTAGTCACTGACTTGCGAAAGTACAAACACCCTGAAGGAACTGATCCCAGGCAGGAGACACTTCCATTATTTTTAGTGAAGAGTCTGTACCATTAGCATTGCTGCCTGAGGGGGTGTGTTAGAGGGGAGTTTTGAGCTCAGCATATTTCTGTTCTGTATGCTAATGACATATTCTACTACTTTTAAGGGATTTTCTGCTCCCCTGAGGAGCCTGATAATATCTTATTCAATGCACAACCGACCAGAGGGGTTGATATAAGTATAACCTCATAAAAGTCTCTGTTTACACAGACCAAGCATCGTCTTTCACAAATTTGACACCGTGCCCAGGTGTACAGTAAATGATCCTTATAACATGAAGTGTGTATGTGCTGGAGAATCTGAATGGCTCCCTGTGCCTCAACGGAAAGCAGTCATTATTGCTAAATGTGCCATCTGAACTGACAAATAATAACACATCCAGGCAATATTTTACCCGTACCCATGGATTTCATGAGCCACAGAAGCAGCCAGCTGTCGACAAGTGGCAGCAACAAAAATACAAGATGTCTGCGCACGTCTGTAGGAGGGAGGTTGGGGAGGTCTGAGGCCTTTGAGGCTTTGGAGAGCTTCTCTGATTGCTTTTCTGCTCCTTTACAACCACCTGCAAGCATCCTGTGCTGGAGTCTGCAGTCACTCTGCTGCTCAAAACTCATGGCTGCTGGCTACGCAGCACAGAACTTCACACTGTTTTTTGCCCAACTCCCCAGGTGAGTTTAAGAATTTTGGAATATATGTGTGACTTCAACTGAGAGAACAAGAAATCTTCACCAGAGTAAAGCCATAAATTAAAGAGCATACATATAATTTTTCATTTACTGCCCGTACAATTTCCTGCTGAAAGATGTTCAACTCAACACCCAAAGCAATAAAAAAGAAGAAAAATGATTTAATTCAATCTTTCTCCAGTGAAAATTTATTAGCTTTGCTCTCTCAGGTTGGCTGTTTGTCCTCTGTGATTCTTTCCATGAAATGATACAGAGAGGAAAGAGGAAGGAAGGAGCGCATGGGAAAGGAACCAGAGAAAGTACCTGTGACTATGCCTGTGTTTGAGGTCATATGTTTTTGCAAGGAAAGGCCTGGTGGACATTTGGGTCTGACGATAGTCCTGAATGTACATGCTAAAAGTACACAAACACGGCTGAGAAAGGGGAAACTGAGTCGCATCTAATGAGCTGAAGGAATGGGCGCTCATTAGTAGTTACTAGTTAAGGAAACTTTCTTATTTAAGCTTAAGGTTGATGATTGACAGAATGGTGGACTTGCAAGTGTGCATAATTTCCTCTCTGCAGTCTGTACTGACCGCATTCACACTTCCATAACACTGCAAGACTAATGCCATCTGTGCTGCACTTGGCTCACCTGAGCTGAGTGATTCTGAGCATGTATTTGAGAGGATGATCTTAGAAAGAGTGTATCTTAGTAACCGATTCCTCACTGTCTACAGTATTAGAAAAGTCAAGGCACTGTAAAAATGAGTTACAGGTGGGCTAAGCCCTCAGCATTTTCACAGAGCGGTTTAAAATGAACAGATATTCAGATATTCACTCATAAACCAGAGTAACAAGTGGATATTCAAATGGCATGGGGTGTGAAAACAGCTATTCCAGCTCTTTCTGAATGCAGCTGCTGTAAAAACTAAGGTACAGAAGATGCAAATAACCATCAAGCCATGTTAAACTCAGTTCAGAGCGCAGTTCAGTTGTGAACTTGCCACAAGATTATTAGAGGGAGTGTTGATTTGTGTTGATTTATTGCCTGGGAAAGCAATGTGCCACATAGTGTGGCCATAGCCTCTGTTGCTAGAAGGCTATTACTATTATGTTTTACTCAAGAGCAGTGTGAAATCAGTTCAATCAAGGTCATTTTACTACAGCTGGACCGACATTTTATATAGAGATGCTACCAAAATAAAAATTCCCAAAATATTTTTCTTTTTTTTAATGACCAACTGTTGTGCTTAGATTTGCATGTTGAATGTCAGTGCACTAATTAATTGTGGTTAATTGATAAAAAACGTTTCTAACGCAGGGGGGTTAGTGTTTGATTAGATGAGGGTGCGCACATTCTCACACACAGCGGTACACGCGTGCACCCACTGGCGCGCACAAATACAAATACTGTACATTGGATAATGTAAAGAAAGCACATGTCAGTAGACACTGTAGCTGTAGCATTTCTTTCAACCACTAAGCAGGAAGTCCAACGCAATTAGCTTCTTGTCCGTGCGGTTTCCACTTACAATTAAATCTATCGGCTACTGTTGCACGAGTAGCCTATAGATTGTGTAATACACAGACTGTGTACATGCAAAACGCGTGCAGAAAATGATCTGACAGTGAAAACTGGGGAGGAAAAAAAAGACATTCATCGCTGGCCTGTCTGGCCACTACTTACATCATCCCATTTCATAAATTTGTTGCCCTTTCTTAGGCTCTCGGGTACGGACACTGGCTTGAGCTGCAGCGCATGAACTCCCGGCTGTGCCCCAGCCATTGGCTCATCTACTCTTCTCAACGCACAAGCTCGGGTGGAAATGAGTCACTTCACTCTCCTCTACTCTTGTGTCTCTTCCTCTCCTTTGTAATTTTCTTAAAAGCAGCCTGACGGAAGCCCACTACTGATGCCAGTATGTCATGCCCGCAATGACGGCGGCGGTGGCGCGTCTCGGCTTTGGAGAGCTGCGGAGGCGGACGCAGGCGTAGCGGACCCGGGCAACTCACTGACTGACTGACTGACTGAGAGACATGCAGCTGAAGACGAGGAGAGAGAGACAGACAGGGAAAGAGAGGGACAGTGAGAGAGAGAGAGAGAGAGGGAAAGAGTGAGAGTGGTGGAGAAGGAGGGGGAATCTGAACGAGTTACATGTCTGATGTCAAATTGTTCAAGTCAATGCAGGGACAGGATCGATGCTTTAAGTGATCTAGCGCCTCCGTGCGTTGGTGGCAATGCGATGGGCATTTAGTGGCCTCTAAGATGGAAACAAATTAAAAGCTGAAAAAATGAGGGAATCGTTAAATCCTGATTTTTGATGATGAACATTCAAGCAAGAGAGAAAAATCTAGGAACAAATCCTTTTTTCTGATGTTCCTATCAGCTGGGATCGCCACATATAGTCACGTGAAAAAGCTTTTAACAAGTCTTACTGCAGTCCTCGGAAAAACTAAGTACACCCTGTAATTCAACAGAACTACATGTATCACTTGAAGTAATCCTTTTGTGTTGGACTCTATCAGTTTCTCACATTGCTGTGGAGGAAGTTTTAAATTCAGATTTATTTTATTTATATAGCGCCAAATCACATCAACAGTTGCCTCAAGGCACTTTTACCTACTACTCTTTACAACCTTGCTTCATTTCACTGAGGTTTGCAGGCATTTGCAGCTCTCTTAAGGTCCCACCACAGTATTTCAGTCAGGTTGAAGTCTGTATTTTAACTGGGTCTTTGCAACACCTTGACTTTGTTTTTTCAACCATTCTGTTGCATTCTGTTCTGGTCATTGCTCTGCTGCATGACCAAATTTCTGCCAAGTCAGTCAGACAGATGGCGTCATCTTTGACTCTAGAATATGGTACACAGAGGAGTTCACGGTCGACTTCATGATTGCAAGGTGCCCAAAGCCTGTGGCTGCAAAACAAGCCCAAATCAACACACCTTCACTGGAAAGTTGGTACAAGGTGTTTGTGCTGATATGCTGTGTTTATGCTGCACTTTATGACCAAATAGCTCCACTTTGATCTTATCTGTCTGAAGGACATTGTTCCAGAAGTATTGTGGTTTCAGATGCAACTTAGCAAACCTACGACGTGCAGTCATGTTCTTTTTAGAGAAAAGCCATACTTGTTCAGTCTTTTTCTAATTGTCATCAACTTTAACATCTAACATGCTAACTGTGGCCTGTAGAGTGTGAGATTTAGCTGTTGGTGTTTTACAATTTCTTTTTTTATCACAGTATTATGCTCTATATCCGCAAACTGCAAAAAAAATATTTATTTTTTTTAATAGAGGTGCTAATACTTTCTGATGATAAATTGCAAATTAAACCTTATTTCTATGTGGATCGTCAGGACCACATTCACCCAGGGTGCGCCTTAGCTTGGTTGAATATTAACAGAGGTGTGGACTCGAGTCACATGACTTGGACTCGAGTCAGACTCGAGTCATTAATTTTATGACTTTAGACTTGACTTGAAAAAATGTTCTAAGACTTGTGACTTGACTTGGACTTTTACACCAATGACTTGGGACTTGAATTGGACTTGAACCGGTTTACTTGAAAAGACTTGATATTTTACCCCAAATATAAAATTTAACATGCATATTATATAGAGATTGAAAATGTGACGTCATTCACGGGTAGAACCGCAAAGGATTCTGGGAACTCGTGGCAAGCGGTACTAGCGCACGCAGGCTTTCAATTGAAATCAGTCACACAGCGATAAAAAGAAACACAAAAATGTCAAGAAGCTGTTGTATTATTAACTGCAATAGCCGGTCGCATGACAGCCACGGGAAGCCGACGGGTAAAGAGATCGGTTGTTATCGGATTACGTCGTTGAAGAGAAATTGTTCGAGCCATGTTTCCGAAGTAACAAAGATGCGACGGATGGCCTGGATTGCAGCCATTCAAAGACCAAATATAACGTCCCAGAACCCTCCAGCTCGCAGGTTAGTCTGCTCCAAGCATTTCCACAAAGGTCAGTCTGCTGTTGTAGTTAATGCGTCATTTTTCTTAACATAACTGGTGATATAGGTTACAAGCAAGTCTGGCGCTGAACAGAAATTGTCGCGCTATGCTCCTTTGTTTATTGTGCATAAATAGTGAATTGTCCTGACAGAATATTGTGTTTCGCTTCTGTTATTATGGTACATTGACAAAAACATATACTTTTATTCACAGGGTAAAACAGTTGTTTTGTATCACTAATTGTCCAGTACGATTACAGCATACAATATTATTGTCACTGCTACATTTCTGTGATGGGTACCAGAAATTATTTCCACTGCTAATTAACTACCGTTGAGCTCAAAGGTCCTATTAATAAATGGTTAAGGAATGTGTATTTATGACGACAATTTGTGAGACTGGTAAACTTATGATACGTACGATGGTCTTTACTTTCTACACGGTGCATTTCAAGGTCCTGCACCCATCCGTCAGTAAACTGTACCTGGGCTTGTTGCAGTGACCGGAAGTTACTAAGTGTATGCACTCACTCCAAGAAGCGTATAATTATAAATATGCATATAAATATGCTACGATGAGATAGCTGACTTCATCTAACTAGCAAATGTTTTCCAGGCTACGTTGGTGATGCAGGTTTTTTTTAAATTATATATTTTTTTAAAATATCATTTATTTATGTATGATATTTTTGTCATGCGATTTTAAAGCCGGTCCTACAAGCGCATCCAAGAATAACATGCAGCTTATCTCAGAACTGTCGGTGAAAATTATTCTTGGAGCTAAGTTTAATTGAGCTGCATTTTAAAGAGGTGCAATTTCACAATTTGTGTATATTTTCTAAGTTCACTATTTTGTCATGTGTTGAGAAAAACACAGATTTAAAAATTACATGGTCTAATATTTACATTTAGCATAAAACTGCAACATGCTTTTTTTCGGGGTTTTTTTAAAGACTCGAAAGGACTTGAAATTCAAAATTTCAGACTTGTGACTTTACTTGGACTTTTACACCAGTGACTTGAGACTCGACTCTGACTTGCCTGACATTACTTGAGACTTGACTTGAGACTTGAGGATAAAGACTTGAGACTTACTTGAGACTTGCAAAACAATGACTTGGTCCCACCTCTGAATATTAATCTGGTGCTGGGTTATTGATGCTGCCACGATCAGAGCCTCTGTACTATGGTACTGGCTAGACTTTTCCAGCTACTCACAGGATTCGATGTCCGTCACTTCCTCTATTTGCTAATATTACATCCCATGGATGGGCTTGGTCCTCCACAACATTTCCTCTTCTTTCTAATCTCTTTCATTCTGCTGCTGCACAGCGCTCTGTTGTAGCAGTTCATCCTGAGAGGCCAACCTGATGTATTCATAGATTCTTTTGTTTCAGAGTGGCACTTACTAACATTTGTACTGTGTCCATGTTCATTTTTAAAGGCTTTTTTGTGACATTCTTTATTCTTATGGATGTGGTGAAATATCAGACATGAACTCCTTGTTCCATCATGATGAGATCATCAGATGGCACATGTGATCTGTTATATTCATACCTGTATCTAGGCTAACAGGTGCTACTGGCTAATTTAAAAAATCAGCTAGAGTGCACACAGATTTCTGTTCCAGTGCCCACACATGGCTCTGGGCTTTTTCTTACTTCTTCATGACTAAACTTCTTTCCAAAGTTCTGTGAGTGCCTCACTGCCCTTAGGAATTTTCTTGGAGTTTAACTTTCCTGTTGAATAAAACATAAAACTCCTCTGGGCTTTGTACCACCCACATTTTGCATTGTCTGCACTTCTTTTTCAAAATGGGGACTATTTGTGTCCTGCTGGCTGTCTTCCCTCTGTGTTTCTCTGTGGTCAGCTACTAACTGTCACTGGCATGTCAAACTACTCAAAACCTACCAAATTCTGGCTGTTACTTTTGATATCAGTGGTAATAGTAGTTTGCTTGAAATTGCTTCATGCTTTTAATGATTGATTAACTATAACAGTTGAGTCAAAGTCCAGTGACAGCTCAGGGAAGTGAGACAGGGTATAAATGTGTCTGAGAGAAACAAAGGGAGGAAACATCCGAAGGTACGAGGTGGAGGAAACAGATTAAACGAGTCACACTTTTAATGCGTCAGAATTCCTTGGGAGAAACAACAATAACAACTAATGTAAAGGATAGTGTCACAAATGTTTTCATTCCAAGAATTACTCATGAAATTTCCCCTTGTGGGACTAATAAAGGTATATCAATTCATTGTTTTTCTGCTTTTCTCAGACTTCGGTATCCGTTATTTATCTTCCTATCAGCCCTGAGGTTTGACCTACCTCTAAAATCAGCCCTAGCACTTATGTGAAAGTCAAAATTACAGTAGAGGACTGCTGGCATGTAAAAGCACTGAGACCACAAATTTCCCATTACATGTGTTCTGAGCCATTAAAATGTTATCCAAGTTGTCAGTCGAGTGTTTCTCTTTCTTTTTTATATAACAAACAAACAAACAAACTTGTTGCTAAAGGAAACCAAATCAGTATTTCACAAGAGAAACTAAGAAAGCAGGAAACCAGCTGGTGGGGTTTCATTTTGTAGAGCCAGTCTTATTCTCAGTTTCCTCATCTAGTTTCTTTATCTAGCTTCATCTATGCTCAACATCTATTTGGAGTACAACTTCACAAATTCTTTGAAAAGATGGCCGTAAGCTACAGCAAGTACAGTTATGTGAAAAAGAACTGTAAATTGCAGAGACAATGGATAATCTTGCCTCACAGAAAGAAGGTTTAGCTCTATCTTCTACTTTTGTCTGCAGGGGTTTTCTCTGGATGCTCCAGTTTTCCATCAGAGTCTAAAGACACCAACTGGGGATTTTAAATTGGCCATAAGCGTGGATGGGCGTATTAAGGGTGTACCTCACCTTTCACCCTGTGGCAGCTGGGATAGTCTCAAATCCACAGACCCTAACTAGGGTAAGCAGTAAGCTGAATAGATTTTTCACAAGGAAAAAGAGTTACACCCCTGCATCTATGATATATTCATATCCAGAGAATTCAGATTAGGTGCCAGTAGTACTTTCAAT